GTGCTCATCAATCCGACGAAAGTGCCCGAGCTGCTGGAGGTGCGTGAGTCGGAGGAGGGCGTCTACTTCGGTGCCGCCGTTAGCATCATGGAGATCGATGCATATCTGCGCAAGCGCATCGAGGAGCTGCCCGAGACGCAGACGCGCCTCTTCCAGTGCGTTGTCGACATGCTGCACTACTTTGCCGGCAAGCAGATCCGCAACGTGGCGTGCCTGGGCGGGAACATAATGACCGGCAGTCCCATCTCCGACATGAATCCCATACTGACGGCAGCTGGTGCTCGCCTGGAGGTGGCCAGTCTGGCCGGAGGCAGGCGCACGGTGCACATGGGCGCCGGCTTCTTCACCGGCTATCGACGCAATGTCATCCAGGCCGATGAGATTCTACTGGGCATCCACTTGCAGAAGACCACACCGGATGACCATGTGGTGGCCTTCAAGCAGGCGCGGCGCCGCGACGACGACATTGCCATCGTCAATGCGGCAGTCAACGTCAAGTTCCAGACAGGCTCCAATGTGGTTGAGCGCATCCAGATCGCATTTGGAGGCATGGCACCCACCACGGTGCTGGCGCCGCGCACCTCGGAGCTGATGGTGGGTCAGCCCTGGAGCCAGACATTGGTGGAGCGCGTGTCGGAGAGTCTGAGCAAGGAGCTGCCCTTGGATGCCTCAGCTCCCGGTGGCATGATCGCTTATCGTCGCGCCCTGGTTGTCAGCCTGTTCTTCAAATCCTACCTGGCCATCAGCCGGAAGCTGTGCGACTCCGGCATCATGTCGCCGCAGGCACTGCCCCAAAAGGAGCTCAGTGGTGCCGATAAGTTCCACACGCCCGCTCTGCGCAGTTCCCAGCTCTTCGAGCGCGTTGCCAACGATCAGCCGAGCCACGACCCGATCGGTAAGCCAAAGGTGCACGCATCCGCCCTGAAGCAGGCGACCGGCGAGGCCATCTACACGGATGACATACCGCGCATGGATGGAGAACTCTACTTGGCCCTTGTGCTGAGCACCAAGGCGCACGCCAAGATCACCAAGCTGGATCCCAGCGAAGCATTGGCCTTGGAGGGCGTGGAAGCCTTCTTCAGCGCCAACGATCTGACCAAGCACGAGAACGAGGTGGGGCCGGTGTTCCACGATGAGCACGTCTTCGCCAACGAAGTGGTGCACTGCCATGGCCAGATTATAGGTGCCATAGTTGCGGCCAACCAGACGTTGGCCCAACGCGCTGCACGGCTGGTCCGCGTGGAGTACGAGGAGTTGCAGCCGGTGATTGTCACCATTGAGCAGGCCATCGAGCACAAGTCCTACTTTCCCCACTATCCCCGCTATGTGACGAAGGGCGATGTGAAGCAGGCCTTTGCTGAGGCGGACCACGTCCATGAGGGCAGCTGCCGCATGGGCGGCCAGGAGCACTTCTATCTGGAGACCCACGCCGCTGTGGCTGTGCCCCGGGACAGTGACGAATTGGAGCTGTTTTGCTCCACCCAGCATCCGTCGGAGGTGCAGAAGCTGGTCTCGCACGTGGTCAATCTGCCGGCCAATCGTATCGTTTGTCGCACCAAGCGTCTGGGCGGTGGCTTCGGTGGCAAGGAATCTCGTGGTCTGATGGTGGCACTGCCCGTCGCCTTGGCTGCCTATCGACTGAAGCGTCCTGTGCGCTGCATGCTGGACCGGGATGAGGATATGCTCATGACCGGCACACGGCATCCGTTTCTCTTCAAGTACAAGGTGGGCTTCAGCAAGGAGGGTCTGATCTCAGCCTGCGAGATTGAGTGCTACAACAACGCCGGCTGGTCCATGGACTTGTCCTTTTCGGTAAGTACGTCCATGCTGGCTCCTGAATGATTTGATAACTCTATGCAATCCTCGCCAGGTGCTGGAGCGTGCCATGTACCACTTCGAGAACTGCTACCGCATCCCGAACGTGCACGTCGGTGGCTGGGTGTGCAGAACCAATCTGCCCTCGAATACGGCCTTTCGCGGCTTCGGCGGGCCGCAGGGCATGTTCGCCGGGGAGCACATCATCCGCGACGTGGCGCGCATTGTGGGCCGCAACGTGCTGGACGTGATGGAGCTGAACTTCTACAAGACAGGCGACTATACACACTACAATCAGCAGCTGGAACGCTTTCCCATTAGGCGCTGCTTCGCGGATTGCCTCAAGCAGTCGCGCTACTACGAGAAGCAAGCAGAGATCACGACCTTCAATCGGGAGAATCGCTGGCGCAAGCGTGGCATTGCCCTGGTGCCCACCAAATATGGTGTCGCCTTTGGCGTCATGCATCTGAACCAGGCGGGCGCACTCGTCAACATCTATGCCGATGGATCCGTCCTGTTGTCCCATGGCGGCGTGGAGATTGGACAGGGGCTGAACACCAAGATGCTGCAGTGTGCCTCCCGAGCCCTGGGCATTCCCATCGAGCAGATACACATTTCAGAGACGGCCACCGACAAGGTACCCAACACCTCGCCCACAGCGGCCAGCGTGGGATCCGATTTGAACGGCATGGCCGTGCTGGAGGCCTGCGAGAAGCTGAATAAGCGGCTGGCACCCATTAAGGAGGCCCTGCCCCAGGGCACTTGGAAGGAGTGGATCACCAAGGCGTACTTCGACCGGATCAGCCTGTCGGCCACTGGCTTCTATGCCATTCCCGACATAGGCTATCACCCGGTAACGAATCCCAATGCACGCACCTACAGTTACTATACGAACGGCGTGGGCGTCTCTGTCGTGGAGATCGACTGCCTGACTGGCGACCATCAGGTGCTCAGCACGGACATCGTCATGGATATTGGCTCGAGCATCAATCCGGCTATTGATATCGGTCAGATTGAAGGCGCCTTTATGCAGGGCTACGGTTTGTTCACGCTCGAGGAGCTCATCTACTCGCCCGAGGGTAACCTCTACTCCCGCGGACCGGGCATGTACAAGCTGCCCGGCTTTGCGGATATACCGAGCGAATTCAATGTTAGTCTGCTGACCGGCGCACCCAATCCACGCGCTGTTTTCTCATCAAAGGTGAGCAAGTGAACATGCCTGGAGAGGAATATGTTTACTAATATATATACTCCAATTGCAGGCCGTGGGAGAGCCTCCGCTTTTCATAGGTTCTACGGTATTCTTTGCGATCAAGAAGGCCATCGCTGCGGCACGCGCCGAGTGCGGCTTGAGTCCGGACTTCGATCTGCAGGCGCCGGCCACAGCGGCACGCATACGCATGGCTTGCCAAGACCAATTCACCCAGCTGGTAAGTCCGGTCCAGTTGAATATAGAATGAATTTGATTCTCAGTCGATCCTCTCCATCTTTCAGATTAAAATGCCAGAGCCGGGCAGTTACAAGCCCTGGAATATAGTGCCATAAATCGTTTAGTTCACTTAAGCATTTGTTACATTTTTAATTAATAACTATTTAGCCCTAAATTGAGCTTATTTGTATTATTATTCTTATCTAATGCTTCTTGAAGACAATCCTCTCCACCCAGTCCAGGTAAGCGTATAGCTTTGTGTAGACGCCCGGCGCATTGGGCGCTGCGCAGAATTTGCCGAATGATGTGATGCCCACGACAAAGGCCACACAATTGTTTTCGGGTAGGATCGCATGCAGCGGTCCGCCGGAGTCACCCTGGCAGGTGTCCTTGCCGCCCGGCAAATAGCCAGCACAGAACTGCGAGTCGACAATGCCATTGGGCAGTCGACGTTCCTTGCGATAGATTTGCTTGCAACGCTGCTGCTGTATCATGTCTAGATCCACCTGGCGCAACGTATTCGACTTGGCGCCCAGGAATTCCGTGCGTCCCCAGCCGGTTGCCACCACCGACTTGATGTGCATCTCGGGTAATTGCCACAAGCAGGCCGGACGCACATGCTCTGACAATTTGGCGCGCTTGGTCAGCTTCAGCAAGGCGATATCATGATAGTAGGAAGAGGAGCGATACTTTGGATGCAGAATAATGATGAGTATTTTAATGTCCTGCTGCCACGGGCTGGTGACATTCAGTTGCTGGGCGCCCAGACGCACCATGTCCGGTGGCTTACTAAAAGTATATATATAAAGAGACCATGTAGTGTCGGGGCTTCTTGGGCATTGCCACTCACCTACCCGACGTGGCGCAATGTGCCGCCGTGAGCACATAAAGCTCACTGACCAGCGTGCCGCCGCAGCCCCATTTGATGACGCCGTCGCTTTGCGTCCAGCCCAGTGCGGTCATATGTGGAAAGAGAGCGTGCAGTGTGGGCGTGCCGCCCACAATCAAAGGCACACTGGGCACACACTGCTTCCCCGAGAAACTGCGTCCAGTGTCGCCCAGGCGCAGTCCCTTAGTGGCGCTATTGTACTCCTGACACTCTGCACAGTTGGTTAGTTTAATGTCTAATTGGCCGAATGCTGCAACTCGACTTACTTGTGGCGCTAATCCGTTGCGACTGGACATGCTTTTCGGCCAGTGGGCAACAAATGACCGGCACGTTGTTGCGATGCGTGCAAATGTCAATGGGCGTGCCGTGCACGCGGTATTCGCGTATAATATGGAGGCACTGATAGGCCACGATGCAATAGCCGCTGCGTCCGTCAAAGCTGCGCCGGCAGAAGGCGCCCTCTTGCAGCGTCCGTGCCGGTCCTGGACGCAGCTCATCGTCATTGTCGAATTTCAAAGAGCTCTCCGATTGTTCATCCTGCTGTTCTCGTTCAGCAGCATCGGTTGCAGATGGCTCCTGGGGCCAGAGTTCTGGAAGCGTGTACTTGGTCGTTTGATAATTGAAAATCTCAAAAGCGGCTGAAAACTGGGAATGTTAATTGCAATTAAATTGTAGAGTTCAATTATATTACCATTTAGTGCTTGTATGTGTAGCAGCATAAATTGTACGCTGATAATTACGGACAAAATTGGCATTTCTTCATTTGTCGTCGCCTTTGTTTTTGTCTCTTGCACATTTGTAAACATCTAAATAACGTAATCCTACTGCGCAACGAAAGTTGCCTGTGCGCCAGTGCTAAAAAGCGCGAAAAGTTAATGAATTCAAATTTGGAGCGAACATAATGGCATGTTTTTTAAGTGATGTGGCATCACTAGCAATGCATTTTTGCAGTCCTGTAAAGTTGCTGGACTCCAATTAGGAGCGAAAACAGCAGACAAGCTGTTGCTATGGAGCACCCAATTTATTTAATCGATGGGGCAGCCTTGATAGTGCATTTTAAATATTTTAAATGGCTGGCAAAAGCAAGAAAAAACGAAATAGTAAAGATTCAACGTCCAGTAATGCAGGCAGCGGAGAGGGCGAAGAGAAGAAAAGGAAGGAAGGCATTAGTGGCAAGAAAAAAGGGGGCGTTGGCAAGTCCATTGGCTGTGATATATTCAATGATGCAGCAATGGAGAATGCTTACTATGTATGCCACAATGTGCAGGTGAGATGGCATATTCGAAATTTGTCTTGTGCTTTACCAATCTAATGTGCAAATTTCTAGGATGTGCTGAAAACCCGCGGTTTTCCTTGGCCCGATGGACAAAAGAAGAAGAAGAAGGGCAAGCGTTGATAAAATGGCTTAATGACAAATTATTTACTTAAAGAATGTTTGCTATATAAATCATTTATTAAAAATTATTTAAAATTTTAATTTCAAATGAAGTAAATATTATATTGCACTTGCATATGTATATGACTCAAATGTAAGCATTTTGTTTGTTACCTCTGCTTCTATTTATATCTGACCAAATCAAGTCGTCATCATCAATTTCGAACCAAAAATCAAACTCATTTTTGAGCGTCAGCAACAACACTTTCTAGAACAAACATCAGAAAATCTCCAAAATACGAAACGAAATCAAAATTACCGGCGTGAGAAAATTACAAACACAAACAAAATATTAAAACACATTTGGACTCGTTTTTGTAGAATTGCCAAAAATTGTGGCAAGGCGACTTGCGCAAAGATTGCACCATAAAAATCCGAGAGTCGTGCGGGCGCACGATTCAGTTGGATATCATCGGCGACAGCCAACGGTTCAGTGTGACGTCAACTGTAACGGAGTGTTTGTGATTTAGACATTAAACATGGGCAAGACGCCGGCAATTGGTATCGATCTGGGCACCACCTACTCCTGCGTGGGTGTTTGGCAGAACAATAAAGTTGAGATTATTGCCAATGATCAAGGCAATCGGACGACGCCCTCGTATGTGGCCTTTAACGACACAGAGCGCCTAATTGGCGATGCAGCTAAAAATCAGGTGAGTGGCCGATGTGTTGTTGCACTTGAGCTCAAATTTGGCGAGCCGTATTTGGTTAAATTTGATCAAAAAAATTGCTTATGTGTGTATATGTATAAGCATAGCTATATTATGAATGCTTTACTTGTTTAAGATTCAAACTAGGTGGCATCTCTTTCAAGAAGGGAATTTCTTCGAATTCTCAATACAATAACGTACTTAAAACTGATTTCCCAGTATTGCAGTTCAAAATGCCAATTGGCGATGTTTTAATTTGATTCAATTAAGGAAAATCATGTTTGCTTATTCAAGAGAGCTTTCACTGTACATTGTCAAACATATGGCTGCATTTTAGAAGCCATTTAATTATTGCGAAGATATATACGCTCAAAAATATGTTTGCATATAAATGCTATATAAAACTCAAGTAAATTTATGCGAGCATCCCGGCAGTTGGCCCATATAAAAATAGCTATTTTGCTGACTAACTGATGAACCACGCCCTTACTCAAAATGTTCGAATGCAATTGCAGGTGGCGATGAACGCCAAGAATACGGTATTCGATGCGAAACGTTTAATTGGACGCAAATTCGATGATAAGAAGATACAGGAGGACTTGAAGCACTGGCCTTTCAAGGTCATCAATGATGGGGGCAAGCCTAAAATTGAAGTCGAGTTTAAGGGCGAACGCAAGCGTTTTGCACCCGAAGAGATCAGCTCCATGGTGTTGACGAAGATGCGGGAAACTGCCGAGGTCTATCTGGGCTCCAAGGTAAAGGATGCTGTCATTACGGTGCCGGCGTATTTCAACGATTCCCAGCGCCAAGCGACTAAAGATGCTGGCTCCATAGCCGGTTTGAATGTGCTGCGCATTATCAATGAGCCGACGGCGGCTGCCCTCGCCTATGGCCTGGACAAAAATCTGAAGGGAGAGCGAAATGTGCTGATCTTCGACTTAGGCGGCGGCACCTTTGACGTGTCCATACTCTCCATCGACGAGGGATCGCTGTTCGAAGTGAAGGCGACAGCAGGTGATACGCATCTGGGCGGCGAGGATTTCGACAATCGGCTGGTCAATCACTTCGTGGAGGAGTTCAAGCGCAAGCACAAGACCAACATCACCGGCAATGTGCGAGCTCTGCGTCGCCTGCGCACGGCCTGTGAACGGGCCAAGCGTACGCTCTCCTCCAGCACCGAAGCCTCGCTGGAGATTGACGCGTTGCACGAGGGCATTGATTTCTACTCAAAGATATCGCGTGCTCGTTTCGAAGAGCTTAATATGGATCTCTTCCGCTCCACTATTGACCCAGTGCAGCGCGCCCTTACCGATGCCAAAATGGACAAGAAGGCCATACACGATGTCGTCCTGGTCGGTGGCTCCACACGTATACCGAAGATCCAGCGCCTGCTGCAGGACTTCTTTGGCGGCAAGCAGCTCAACTTGTCCATCAATCCCGACGAGGCGGTAGCCTATGGTGCTGCCGTCCAAGCGGCCATACTCACCGGTGTGGGCAGCTCCCAGATACAAGATCTATTGCTGGTGGACGTAACACCTCTGTCGCTGGGCATTGAGACTGCTGGCGGTGTGATGACCAAGCTGGTGGAGCGCAATGCACGCATTCCCTGCAAGCAGCAGCAGACCTTTACCACCTACAGCGACAACCAGAATGCGGTCACCATTCAGGTGTTCGAGGGCGAACGGGCCATGACCAAGGACAACAATTTGCTGGGTACCTTCAATCTGACGGGCATACCGCCAGCGCCACGTGGAGTGCCCAAAATCGATGTGACCTTTGACCTGAATGCCGATGGCATCCTAAATGTCAGCGCCAAGGACAGCAGCACTGGCAAACTGGAGAAGATAACCATCACCAATGACAAGGGCCGCCTGTCCAAGGCCGAGATCGATCGCATGCTCTCCGAGGCGGAGAAGTACAAGGATGAGGACAATCGTCAGCGCGAACGGGTCTCATCTCGCAACTCCCTCGAGGGCTACATCTATGGCTGCAAACAAGCCGTGGACGAGGCACCACCGGGTGTTCTCACCGAAGCGGACAAGTCCAAGGTGCGCGATAAGTGCAATAAGGAGAGCGCCTGGCTGGACAAGAATACACTGGCCGAAAAGGAGGAGTACGAGCACCATCTGAAGGACTGCCAAGGCGTCTGCAATCCCATCATGTCCAAGATGCATGCCGGCGGAAAGGCACCCGGGGGCAAGTCAAGCGCTGGCACCGCCAACAGCGGACCCACCGTCGAGGAGGTGGACTAATCTGGACTGACCAAGCGAACAATTCAATTGAATATGTATTTGAAATTTATGCTAATAAAAGAGTTCATTCAAGTCAGCTGCTGTCGCCGTTTACCATTTCCATTTCTATTCCATTCCCATTGGCATTCGCATTCGCATTCTCTTTTCCATTCCCATTCATCATTTAGCTTTCGGTCTTCAGTTGACTTTCAATGGTTGCATCGAGTAGTTTGTTTGCTGAGCAGATCAGCTGGCGCAACTGCAATGAGCTGTTGCATCCGCATAGCTGCCGGCGTGCCGCTTGCCAGAATGTATATCGGTTTGTCTGGTCGAACCTGAAGTATTATCTGCCCATGTTCGTGCTGGATCTGCTGAAGCAGGCTTTGCGTGGCAATCAGCTGCTGCTGCACTCGCTCCGTAATGCAATGTGGTATTACGGCCAGTTGGTGTTCGGTGGCCTGGTCACTGGTTGGCTGTCAGCCACCTTCATTTGCGTGCTGCGGTAGGCATCAGCTGCTCTGCTCCTCTCTCTTAATAATCTCATCTGTGTCTCCTCAGTCACCTGCTGGGCGAATTCCGACCGAATACGGTGGTGTTTGTGCCTGCCGTCTTGGCTGGTGCTTTCGATGCGCTCTTGCCCATTCGTGTGAAGCAGCTACATCAAACGGCCCTCTTTCAAGCTGTAAGTCAGCTCAACTGTGCACCTGGACCTACTGCTCCTCCACTCCACTCTTTCAGCTAATCGAAAGCCTGCTGCTGCAGCGCTCTAACCCGCTGACCAAGGCGCTGGGCACATCTCGCTGGCGACAAACCCTGCTCTTCATGGCCTGCAGCGCCGTCATCATGCTGGGCAAGCAACGCCAGTGGCACAAAGGTTTCTGGTTCGTAACACCTGATTGCCTGCAGTCGGAAAGGAGCTTAAGTCCCATTCAATATGTGGTTCAGGGCGTGCGTAAGTATTTGCTCATTGGTTTCGCTTTGGACATCTTCAAGGCTTTGATAAGCTGCATTAAGACGGGTCACTGGCATTTGAAGCAGTTCAGCTTGGAGTCTATGGCCTGGCTGGGCTGTTACGTGGGCATCTACCGGGTAAAATATATGATTATTTGCATATAGATTATTAATGCAGAAATTTGGATATTTTTAGTAGGGAATATGACTTGCAGGAATCCTTTTTGTTTTTTCCCTCAAATATCTTAACAGTTGCCTGAGCTCCTTCCTTCATATGTCCATTCCGCCATTTCATGCCCCATAAGTCTATCGTCCGTCCCTTCTCACAAAACTGGTTCCTTGTCATATGTAGACATACTTTTTTACATCCGACTATCAATTCATTCGAGTGCTGATTTTTTTCTCCTATGGCCTCAAAAAGAGGGCAACCACCTTATCACCTCATCACCTTGTCGCCCATACAAATGTTTGTTTGCATTCGCAACTGCATAATAAAGCGATTTGCATTTGTTTAGACTAGCTTATGCTATATGGCAAGCAAGACGGATGTCAGCCAAACACTACAGCAGATCGTGTCGAGTTTTCTGGGTGGGCTCAGCTTTGTTTGTTATCCGAAGTTGACCATTCTGAGCTATGCCCTGCTCGAGGCGGGTCGCTCGCTGTGGGGCAGGTATCACCGGAAAAAGCAAAGATCTCGGTTTGGCTATAGCGATCTGGTCTTTCCCCTGGTGCTGGCGTACCTGATACACACCTATGCCTTCTACCCGAAGAGAGTTAGCGCTCTTGCGAGCATCATTATCGACAGCACGACGGGCAATTAGTAAGTTTGCTGAAAGAGAATTTGCGTTTGTTGCTTAAAGATTTGTTTCCCTTTCGTTCCCAACAGCGCCGGAAATATAAGCAAACGTCTGCAACATTTACAGCCGGCTGGATGGCATGGCAAATGGATTTAATTATAATTTATAATGCAATTAGTCATAAAAAATAAAAAAAAATAAAAAAACAAATAAATATAAATGTATCTATGGAATTTGCATAATAACCTTCTATTTGAACCGAATCAGCGACTCGGGTGGAGTTTGGGTGTCTCAGGTGTGGGAGTCAGTCGCACTGGAGATGTGCCTGTAGCAAAATGGTTGCTCCCAGCAAGCTATTCGGATATCCCATGAGTCACGTACACTGCGGAAATATTATTCACAGCCAGCCCAATCAGAGCTGCACGCAGGCTCTGCTATGGAACATGTACCGAAATCATGTGTCCAGTGCCAAATACTATTTGCCAACATTGGTGGTATGTCTATTTGCTGATCTGACATGGATGCTACGCTCAATTTC